TTTTGCTAAGGTTTTTATTACCTGTGTTGTCTTATGTTATCTATTGTCTGATTGATTATTGGCTTTTATGTGCCCTTTTTTGATAAGCCTTATGTGTTTTTTATCCTTGGGTGCCTCCTTTGGTTCCCTATTTACCTCCCCTGCGTTTGCCGCCGCTCCCCCTGTCTGTCTGTCCGTTCCCCTTTCAGACAGGGTTCGCGGCTAGCAGGGGAGGTTTCTCTCTGGAGCCCTGTGCTCCCCGGCTTCCCTTCCCCTCGCGGCCGCGCTTATCGCCCGACCCGATCTCCCGCTGGTGCGAGGGAGTGCCGGCCGCGTGTGTGGTCGCGCTCCCTGTTTCACTAGCGGGGGAGGAGCCTGGAAACGGCCGCGGCGCGCTCTGCACGCGGCGGCCATCTTCCCTTCGTTTCTCCACGCGGCTGGGTCGGCTCCCTTCTCCCTCCCATACTGTATGCAAGTATTATATGCTTAGTTTGCTGGTGGGTTACTCAACCCCTCTTTTCTCCTGTATAGGTCATTTGTTAGTTCATTTAAACCTTTACAGATTTTGCTCTGCTCCTGTATCAGATTTAAAGGGACAGTACTTGTTGCCTTTATTTGTTTTTTTGATAATTATGCAGGCTAGGGGTGAGGATTCGGGTAGTCCCAGTTACCCCATTATGGATCCCTCTCAGACCCCCATTACAGGGGATATAGGCATTACTCCCTCACAGGAGTTCCAGGCCCTTTTTGATTCCACCATGCAGAAGGCCCTGGCTTCGGCCATGGGGACCGTGTCCTCGTCCCTCTCTCTCACACTATTCAACAGGTGCTGTCGCAGCCTTTGGGCCCTGCCGTGTTGCCTGCTCCCCTGCCTGCGCTGCAGCCTCATACGGGTCGCAAGGCACAAACAAAATTTAAACATGTCTCTCCAGAGATGACGCAGGTGACACTTGCCTTGACTGACGTGCCTATGGCCGTCCCAGATGGCGCGTTTCCGCGCAAGAGAGCCGCTGGCCGGGCAAAATCGGCCAGAAAATGGAAACGGGCACGTGCCCGAGATGATGATGGATCGGATACCGATCAAACTGGAGAGTCAGACTCGGATCCCCCTGATTACGCCTCCTATGAGGAAGGGGTTTCCGGCGATGAGGCGGAGTTTGACGCTTCGGCGCTTCCGCCGGGTGAGGGGCAGGACATCTGTGATCCTCAGGGTTACCCCCTGTTCGATCCCGATGACCTTCACCATCCCCGCTCGGCGGAATGGGACCCGCCCGCGCATATTGCCAATTATCTGGCGCTTCGTATGCGTACCCCCCTTTCCAAGGAGGGGCGCAGTAAACTGAGGGCCGAGTGCCCAAGGCCTTCGGTGCCTGATTCGGCGTGCAAGACGCCAGAGGTTGACCCCCAGATTTCTCAGTTCTTAACTAAGACGGGTTGGAAGCCCTGAAAAGGACTGGAATTTTCGCTGCATAATTGCCAAGACAAGATCTTGGATACACTGGGCCCTGCCGCCAAGCTTTACGAGCTTCTGGAAGCGGCTAAGGCTGGAACGAAGCCTATTGATTTTGATGAAGCGATTGGGTGGGTCCAGAGGTTGATTTGCCTTCTCGGCAACGCGAACACAGCCATGTCGGCTGAACGCCGCAAGGCGATTCTGCTCAAAATTGAGCCCAAGTTAGTTAACCTGGCAGTGAAGGAGCCTGGTGCTTCGGCCAAGGGTATGCTCTTCGGAGAATGTTTTGTTAAGGACTTAGGCTCCTTTGTCCGTACCTTTACCGCCTAGATAAGGCGCAGTCCAACCTGAAGAGGGTGTTCGGCCCTAAGGTTTCCCATGGGGCCGGGAGGTATAGGAGCCGTCCGCCCGGCCGTGGAGCTCGAGGTCCCCCGAGGACTCACAGAGGTTCCTTTTCCGCCCCCCGGACCTACCAAGACTATAAGCCAACGCCCTTTTTTCCCTCACGGGGGAGACCATGGCAGAGTCGGGGAGGTCGTGGACGACCCTCATACAGATGCCCTTACGGTGAGTACACCAACACGTGTATCTTGCAGAACGAGTGTGGGGGGCAGATTGGCACTGTTTCTCGATGTGTGGGGTATGATCACCACGGATGTTTGGGTTCTCAGTGCGATCAGGGGTTTCCGCCTGGATTTATTGTCTCCCCCTGTCCAGACGTTTCTCCCACAGGAACTGAAATTACCAGCAGAGCAGGCCGGATTAATTACCGCAGAGATCGCGTAACTGTCTGCCAAACTGGCTATTCAAGAAATCCCCTACGGACACCCGGGATTTCTAAGCAAACTGTTTCTTGTCGCCAAGAAAGGCGGAGGCGTACGTCCAGTGATAAACCTCAAACACCTCAATTCTTTCCTACGTTACCATCACTTCAAGATGGAGGGCGCTCATTGTCTCAGGGACCTGCTCCGTCAGGGAGACTGAATGGTCAAACTAGACCTCAAAGATGCCTACTTGACTATACCCATGGCAGAAGAGCATTGGGACTTATTGCATTTTACGTGGCAAGGTCGTCGATGGCGTTTTACATGTCTGCCGTTCGGTCTATCTTCAGCTCCGTGGTGCTTCACGAAAGTGATGAAGCCCGTGGTGGCCTTCCTCAGGGCGCGAGGGGTCCGCATGATTATCTACCTGGACGACATACTGATTATGTCTTCATCCCCCGAGCAACTTCTCAGGCACCTAAGATGGACGGTGAGTCTCCTGGAGAGACTAGGTTTCCTCGTCAACTGGGAAAAATCCATTGTGACCCCGGTACAAAGGATAGAGTTCCTGGGCTTCGAGGTCGATTCAGTCACCCAGTTTCTGTTCCTCCCGGAGGCAAAACTCCGATCGATGAAAAAGGAGATACGACGGGCGCTGCGAGCCACCTCTCTCTCCGTCCGGCAATTGGCGAGGGTGATCGGCCTGTTGGCCTCATCGATTCAGGCAATTTTTCCGGGCCCACTGCATTATCGAGCACTCCAACGTTTGAAAGGGTCCCATCTTCGCTCAGGGGGCTCGTACGAGAGCGTGTTGACCCTGGACGGGGACTCCAGAGACGAACTAAGGTGGTGGCTGGACCACATGGAGGCCTGGAACGGCCGGGCGATCTTCGGCTCCGCGCCGGATGTGATAATAGAGTCGGATGCAAGCCTGCATGGCTGGGGCGCTCGCTGTGGCGGTGTCTCCACCGGTGGAAGATGGTCAGAGATCGAATCGGCTCTGCACATAAACTGCCTGGAACTTCTGGCGGGTTCGTTTGCCATTCGAAGTCTATCTCCGACGCAGGGAAATTGCTGCGTCCTCCTACGTATGGACAATGTGTCCGCTGTCAGGTACATAAACCACCTCGGGGGGACAAAATCGAAGCAGTTGGCGAACTTGGCAAAGGATTTCTGGCAGTATTGCCTACACAATGCCGTATCGGTTACGGCCGAGCACATTCCGGGTCTGGACAACGAGTGGGCGGATTGGAACTCGCGCTACCTGAAGGATTCAGGAGACTGGCACTTGCTGTCCTCAACATTTCAAAGGATAGAACGGTTGTGGGGTCCACTTCACCTGGATTTGTTCGCGTCCAGATTGAACACCCAACTACCCCAGTACTTCAGTTGGAGACCGGACCCAGCGGCCACGGCAGTGGACGCGTTCTTGCAGACGTGGCCGCCGGGACGCCATTATGCGTTCCCACCGTTCAACCTGATATCCCGGACACTGGCGTACTCGGCCGGACAGAATTGCACGATAGTGATGGTAGCTCCGCTCTGGCACTCTCAACCGTGGTTTCCCCGCCTTCTGGAGATGGCCATAGATTTCCCACGGATAATCGAAATGAGGCCGGATGTGCTTCTGGATCCGGATGGGAAATTGCACGAATTGGTGGATCAGAGCTTACTTCAACTCACGGCTTGGCTAATCTCGGGAGACCCTGGTGTGTCACGGACGTTTCGCAGACAACTGCTCGACTATTGGAGAATGCCTGGGCACCAGGTACCAGAGCGGCTTACAGGACCGCATGGCGCGTGTGGTCTGGCTGGTGCTTGGGAAGATTGCTGGATCCACTTTCTGCCCCTCTAAATGCGCTGCTTGGTTTCCTGACGGAACGTTTTGATTCTGGTTTGGCTTATCGTACCCTTAATGTTTATAGATCAGCCATTTCGGCCGGACATCAAGGGATAGACGGATCTCCGATTGGACAACATCCTATCGTGTGCCGCTTGTTGAAAGGTATCCGTTTTGCTAGACCGCCAAGATCTAGATACTCATCGTTTTGGGACGTTAACGTCGTCCTTGGATTCTTGGACTCCTGGCCCTGTAATGAGGACTTGACACTCAAACAGTTATCATGGAAACTGGTCATGCTTCTGTGTCTACTTTCGTGTAAGAGGGTGTCGGACGTCAGGGCTCTGGACTGGAACGCGGTCTCGTTCACCCCCGGAGGTGTGTCGTTTAATATCTCGAGGAGGACTAAGTCGGCTTCCAAGTCGGTGGACTAATCTAGATGCTCCATCAGACCTGCTTTGTGTCCTGTGGCTTGTCTCCAGGTTTATTTGGATCGTACCCGGCTGCTGAGGTCGACTTAGAGGTTGACTTGCCTCCACTCTTTATCTCCTTGAAAGCACCGTTTCTACCGGTCTCGTCGCCGATGCTTGCCTGCTGGGTTAAAGACCTCCTCTCGGCTGCGGGTATCGATACTTCGAATTTTTCGGCTCATTCAGTTAGGGGTGCCATGGCATCAAAGTCTTCTACGATAGGATGTCGCCTGGACGATATCTTGAAAGCGGCAGATTGGTCTAAGGAATCTACGTTCCGTGATTTTTATTTCCGCCCGATTGAACATGTTTCTTCATTGGTTGTGGCTCAGCTTTAAACTAGCATAATAGGAGCCTCCGTGTCATTAATAAAATTCCCAGATTTTACTATTAACATGACGTAAAGTCATGATTTTATTAATGACACGGAGGCGAGTATTATTCCCACCCACCCTCCCGTGGGTCTGGGTCTGGTTTTTCGCTTAGGGTTCAATCGGGGGGTTTGTCTTATCTCACGGTAAGTACACATGTGTTACTTGTATTGAACATATGGTGTTTTAGAGTGTGACATATGTACATGAATTTGAGTATGATGCTCTCTATTTGCAGGTCACGTATATTCGATATGTTGCACTCAGTTCCTAAGTTTGGAGTTTACCACATATTTCTTTGTTTTACAGCTTGATTCCGGTCTGTTGATGTCTACCGGTTTGACGTTTCTTAGTTACTGCTTGGATATTTTGCTTTGGGTCTTCGGTTCAGAAGGCAAAGAAGAGGAAGTGGAAGTACAAGGATAGAGATTTATGGACTGTTCCTAGAGACTGATTGGCTGCCCTGTTACTAGGCAGATCTGGTTGTACCTGTTATTATTTTATTGCATATCTACATTTTTTCTCTTTCAGTTTTATATTTCTCTTTGCTGCTGAGGAATAAAGTAAGAAAGAGATAGCATAATACTCGCCTCCGTGTCATTAATAAAATCATGACTTTACGTCATGTTAATAGTAAAATCTGGGAATTCTTTCTTGTAGAAGAGGAATGCTTATTGTTGGTAAATTAATTGCCTTTCTTCCATTGATGTCAAATGTACAATTTCCAGAGCTATGTTTGTCTTTTATAATAGAATTTAGCCCACAGGTTGAAAAAGACTCCAGTTCATGACATTCAGCTATTCACACACCGCTGATTCTGCTGAATCATACGAAGATGAAAAAAGCTCCCTCAATTTGTTTACTCCAAAGCAACAATTTGATATTCCCTTAGATACATATGTTTACTATTGTCTGTATGGTCACCTAAAGACCTCCTGTCAAGGTCCACATGCACGCAGCTTTGTTATTAGATAGCTGTCATGTCATAGCTGACTATAACCAGAATAGTCTATGTGAGCCTGTTGGAGTTGATTGGATTTTACAAGCTGGTTGGCTACAAAGTGTAAGGATTTGGTTTGGTTTACTTACCTCAAGCAGTACTTTGCATGCTCCCCTCTCACTTGGCATCCTCCCTTGTAGCCAAGTCCCTCTGTATTTTGCAGCAAGTTGGGTTCAGTGAATCCCTTTTCAATCATGTACCATTGTTTTCCATTACAGACAAATCAAAACAGTATTAACTATAACGCACCTAAAGCCCAGGGGTTAGACAGGGGCTTCATAGCCATTAATTTGCTTGGCTTCATTTACCATCCCCGTGTGAAGAATGAAGAGGGAACCCCAAACCAGCAAACCCAAACTACCTGGGGCCCTGTGGGATCACTAAAACAAATTTTGCTAAATGAAGCAGTGTTGGTGCATAGATCATGCTCCTGCCAAATTCTCTGAAACGCCTTTGGAGATGGCTTATGGTAGGGAAATTAATATTCAATTCACGGGCAACAGCTTTGGTGGACATTCCTGCAATCAGTATGCCAATTGCACGCTCCCTCAAATCTTGCGACATCTGTGGCATTGTGCTGTGTGATAAAACTGCACATTTTAAAATGTGGCCTTTTATTGTGGCCAGACTAAGGCCTGTGCAATAATAATGTGTTCTAATCAGCATCTTGATATGCCACACCTGTGAGGGGGATGGATTATCCCGGCAAAGGAGAAGTGCTCACTAACACAGATTTAGACAGATTTGTGAAAAATATTTGAGAGAAATAGGCCTTTTGGGTACATAGAAAAAGAGTTCAGCTCATGAAAAATGGGGGCAAAAACAAAAGTGTTGTGTTTATAATTTTGTTCAGTTTACATATAACACATAGAGTAACCCCCACAAATATTATATCCCGGAATCTGAGTGCCTATCCAAATAGCGCTCAGATCCCACGAATACAGCGGAATTGCCAACGGGGGAAAAGTTTTGACCGGCCGTACACGTGTCGCCTGCCCAAATTAGTTCCAGAGAGTCAGTGGTAGCGGTCGGTCAATTTCAGGAGTTCCAAAACGAACAAACAGACAAATGGTACCCCTGGCTTATAGGTAGCGATTGTTCGCCTTGTTCGTGCGAATCAGATGTTAATTTACTTTAAAAGTTGTTATCTCCTGCTTTGTAAATTGAACTTTAATTACATACAGAAGGCTCCTGCAGAGTCTTGCAATCTATTAAAAGAGCGGGTGATTAGAAATTCTAATTTAAATAGACTTTGTAATAAAGGAAGTCTAAACATCAGATGTATTTTTTACAGGAATTGTTTAGGTAGGCTGTGTAAGTTGCATGCAGGGACCTGTGCATAGGGCTGCATAAACAAAGTGAATTAACTCCTAAATGGCAGATAATTGAGCAGTGAGACTGCAGGGGCATGATCTATACACAAAAACTGCTTCATTAAGCTACATTCTTTTTGTTTTGGTGACTTTAGTGTCCCTTCAAAATATAAGATGCATATGAACAATTATAAAAATGACCCTGCAACTTTGTGGATGGTGCACTATAACAATATTTTGCACTTTAAACACAACATTTGCTATTTAAAAAAAAACAAAAAAACTTTAATAGTTTCTCCCTGCATAGCAACTCTTGCATGTTCAGTCTTACAAATATCACTAATATCACTTAATTACTAAGTCACAAATAATACCTGTTCCTACTGAAATTGTCTACTTCACGTTATCAGATTTGACTTATTTTGTTAATTTTATATAGTGCAAAAGTAATCCACCTTTGAATTACCCATTATCTGCTGTACTAATGACATTTATTTGTATTTCTTCTAAACCCTTCATGAATAAATGTAAATAAATAAAATAGTTTGAGTACTCTGCATTTAAAGGTAATTATGATATTGAGCTATTGTAATTCACAGCACAATAAAATGTTTATTGTACCGTTTAAAAATATATATTTTTATTTGTGTGCAGAAAATAAAGATTCATAACATTGCCGTTTCCTTTTAAACTTGCTTTATATTATTACTAATTAACTGTAAGTGTTTATGCATTAGTTACTGATATTGCAATTATGTAAAAGTAAAGTGTCATTTCTCTGGTCTTGAGCAATGTAGATGAACAAGCCTTGCAAGGTGGAATTAACGCTGTGTGTGCAAACTCAAATTCTATTTCTCACCTGAGGTCAGTGCCGGTTCAAATGCACTGTCTCTTAAAAAAAAAAAAATGTCATTTATCTGAAAGTACCTATTTTTATTTCTATCCTTTCCTTTACAGATACTGTGTAAGAGATTTGAGAATACACAAAGAATATTTTTATTTCCCCAACAGCCCCTGTCTCCTCTTTTTTATTATATATAATTGCATGACTTTTTTATTTCTAAATTTTTTTCCCTATTTCTCTTTTGGTTTGTTTCTTTTTTATTTCTGTCTTGTATGTCATCCTTTCAACCCTGTTCCAATTCCATCCACTTACCTCCCAATTCCTTTATGTCAGCCATTCGATTCACATCTTCCCCATCATATCAATTCTCCTTACTCATATAATTTTTCTTTTGTTTTTCATTTTTTTATATTTTTTGAACAAAGAAAAGGAATTGGTAATCGCATACTTAGGGCAAGAACATATCAACACCCTTTAATATCCACCTGTAAAGTTTTATGTGAAGTAGCTCAGAATGTAGCAGGAAGGCTGAAGAAGAAAGTCAAAGTCACTGTATAGATAAGGATCAGACAATAAACATGGTCTGGATAGTACAAGGTCAGGTTCAGTAGCCCAGGTTCTTAGGCAGGTCAGACAGTCAGGGGGTCAAATACCAGAAATCCAATGAGCAGATACTGAAGTGAACACCACTAGGAGTACAGTATAACTTAGCAAAGAGGACTGGGAGTCAGGATTTTATTTAGGGAAGAAGAGGTACGCCCTCCCTTCCAACTCCTCCAGCATTGGAGGAAGCCTTCCCATCCAATTTGTGGGCCACGAGGAGAACACGGCACTACTTTAGAATAAGAAAGGGCAATGAGCAAGCCGGACTGAAACAACAGAGGGGCATGCACCAGAGGGATGTGTAACAGGACAGTGCCTCCGCAAGGAGAGAGGAAAATATGTTGAGGGAGCGTTATGTAATACCGAAGGTGAGCAGGGACTCGACACCAACCTTGCTCCATACCTTATTTCAGTCTCCTTTTGATGTCCAATCATTTCTAATAATATATATATATAAATATGTGTGCCTTCATTGGCCAAGTGTCAGTGACAAAATCACCAGGATTGTAAAGCACTACGGAATCTGTTGGCACTGTATAAATGGCAACAATAATAATAATAATTGGCTGTCCTCTAACATCAATCACAAACATTTGCTCATTTCATTGGACAGGGAATAGTGAAACCAGATTGGGCAAGCAAGCATTACATTGCACAAAAGGAATTAGCTTATTGTTCAAGATTCCTGTCGTCATTCACGTAATTTTCCCTCCCTCTCTCTTGTGTTGACACTTTTCAGAACTTCGAATTACTTCGGAGCTTCATAGATTTGGCACTTACGAGCTACCGAACTTCGTCACTTCGGAACTTCGGCAGTTCGGGACTTCGTACATTCTTCAAGTGTCCGTATGAATATACATTCGGAATTAAACGATTTGCACATATCTGATGTTCAGTAACTTTACAGTATCAACGTTTCAGTCCTCATCCGGACTGTCATCAGGACATTTATATATATTCTCAACTCCTTGTATATCTTTTGCTTCTTCTTTTTCAATTGTATATTTTCCTTCTCCATTCCATAGCAACCTTCCTACCCCTTAATGTTCAGTTCTATTATCACTTAGTCTCTACTTATTTTATCTTTACCACACGCCCACTGACATCACTTTTCACACCTTCCATGTCAGGCCCCTTTATACCATCTCCAAGTCCTCTGGGAGTCAGTGGTGGCACTTGCCATAAGATTTCTGTCACTGCTATAGGTGATCTTATAATACAAAAAGTAATATATAAATTTATCATGAGATATTGCAAATGACCTTTTTTTTGTTTTTTTTTAAATATTCTTTATTTGAGTTTTCTTGTCATACAAAATGAAATACAAATTATATATAACATTAACATACAAACACTTTACATTTAGTCATACATAATACATTCTACCTGTGTGGAAAATAAGGCTGAGCTGGGAGAGAGCAATTCCTATCTTTTTTTTTTTTTTTGTATAACTTATCTTTAAGAATTCTAAAGTGATAGTTTTACTCAGATTTTATTAAATACCAACATTGTATCAAGAGTTTTCTCTCTTATCATTTTATTCCTGACCATAGAATTATTTCTCCAGCACATACCCATATTCCACCTTTAGTTGGAACGTTAGTTGTTTTGCCATTGATGATAACTTATTTCTGCGGGTTGTTTCCATTCTCTCGCTATGAGAATTTTCACAGCCGAAAACCATGTGTAACCAAATAATATTTTGATGCTGCTTAGTCCGGCCAGCCCATATGCAATAATGCTGTCATCGGGATTTCGTCAATTTTAATCTTATCCATATCGTACAGTATTTTATAAACCTGATCCCATATTGTTTACATTTT